TCATCTCCCCCCCCAAAATGTGGAAAATATAACTGATGCAAATCCACTATTTTTCTTAGCAGGCAAATATATTTATTCAGCAGTTTGGTAATTCATGAACTTCCCCATTGTTTACTGACAGTGAACCTGAATACATGCAATATTTCTCTCCAGTGTGGAATAATTGTGTAGAGGAAATGGGCCTGGTTTTCACCTGAGAATTGAGAAAACAGGCAGATGTTAATAGGTCTAATTGCTTAAACAAATTACTGCACACCCAAAGTGTCCTGAGTCAATCAAATTGCTGTGAGGTTTGATACAGAGGCCGTTTCAAAGGTTACAGGTGAGACAGATGCATGAGAGGTTCAACTCCAGCTGGTGGAGTTTCCATATTACATCTGAAGCTATCCTCCTGATTAATCCGTATAATGTCAGTGAAGGAACTTCTCTGACACATAAGGAATTCTGCACAGCTGGAAGTCAGCTTTTTGTTCCTCCATTAATCAAAACAAGCCATGAAAAACATTTATCAGTGATCTTTGCCTGAAATGGGCCTTTAAAGTATGTTTATGTAAGTTCCACAGTCACATGACTTTTCATTCAGAATTTTTGACAGCTCATCACTTCCAGTGTTGAATGCATGAGATTAGCAACGTTGCTGAAGCTCCTAATTTACTAGTTTTTACATCTGTCCCGCTTACAGTGCTTGGATGCATTACAAATCGAGCTGGATTTTCCCCCAAAGTTCTTCTCAAGCTCTGAATGTAAACTGGGCTCCTGTGTAAATAAACGCCAGCACAGATAAAAGGTAAAAGGTAAAGGACCCCTGGATGGTTAAGTCCAGTCAAAGGCGACTATGGGGTGCAGCACTAGTCTCATTTTTCAGGATGAGGGAGCTGGTGTTTGTTGACAGACAGCTTTCTGGGTCATGTAGCCAGCATGACTAAACTGCTACCGGCGAACGGAGGACCGTGACGAGTACCAGAGCATACAGAAATGTTTTTTACCTTCCCGTCACAGCAGTACCTATTTATCTACTTGCACTGGTATTTTCTCAAACTGCTAGGTTGGTAGAAGCAGGGACAGAGCAATGGGAACTCACCCCGTCGCGGGGATTTGAACTGCTGACCTTCTGATTGGCAAGCCCGAGAGGTTCAGTGGTTTAGACCACAGTGCCACCTGCAGTCCTAATCATGTCTACCCCACTCTTACATAAACAGTCATGAACAACCACATTGGCTTATGTGTGATAAGAGAATGCATCAAAACAAAATTAGAGGATGCATGGGGACAGGGAGAGGGGTTGATTGTTCTACAAGACAAGGAGAAATTCTCATGCTGATGGAACAAGCTGCTTAACACTACACAGAATACAATCCTATGGCCTGCGCTTATTTTTTTTTAAGGAGATCCAGCCATGAATCTCCCACATCCCACCTAGTCTAGCCTCCAAGAACTGATTCACACAACCACTTTGGGATAGCTCTTTTAAAATACCAAACATAATGTTGTGGGGAAGGGGGAAGGGATGACTGGATTGACTCTACCCATAAAGAACTAGCAGTGTGAATAACCCATCAACCCCTTGGCAGTAGAAAGAAACTGCTGGCATATGCACATTGGCATATTTCCCTGCCAAGGATATATTCATACAGACTATTCTCAACGGGCATATTCTCTCCAAGCATACAATAAAAAGCTTGCCCTGTCAATCTGGTTTTGCGAACGAACCCAAAGTCCATTTGTGCCAAAGGAGTAATGTGTTAAGACAGCATGTGAATGTGTGTGTGTGTTCCTCTGTCTCTCTTTTGTGTTGTTGTTTTTTACATCCTTGAACTGCATCACGCATACCCCTTTAGAACAGCTGCTAGCATTAAAGTCTTCCTATTTTGAGTTGCCCCCAACATGCAGGAATTTATTGCACTGTTTTTGAAAGGCTGACGTTTTTCAAAGGAAATATTTATCCACATGAGGCTTCAGTGACCTGTGATGACTCAATTGAGTCCAAACTAGCAAAAAGAAACTAATTTATTCCAGGGGATTCCACGAACAGAGTGCTCCCTTTGGGTTCCAACAAATATATCTCTGTACAAGTTATTAAGGGTCAGATTGGGGAAGCACGCAAGAAACTCCAAGACCAGCCAATATTTCACCAGATTGCTGAAGGGATAGCATATAGGGGAGCAGGGGAGGGAGGGAAGTTAAATTTGCCCATAGATCCTTGTCTGACTCTTACTCCAAACTTCACAATCCTGAAAATGACAAAGATGAAATACGCCGAAGAAGAAGAAAACCTGCCTAAGGTAAACTAAGAATTATTTGTCCGCACACTTGTGTGATTTGGCAAAAGTAGCCAAAGGAAACACCTTATCAGTAGACATCCCCCTCTCCAAATCCGGCCTGTCTCCTCAATGGAGCATGCTATATATTGCAGAAATCCTGTGCTGATCCTCATGTGACTGATAAGAGAAACATTCCATTTTCCACAATGGGACATTATGTAAGGCCTACTTTCCAACCAGAAAACCATTTGCAAAAATACCCAGCAAATGGTTAATCCGCTGGCCTGTATGTATTAAGGAAAGACTAACAACACCTTCTCTTATTCTTCCTGCAATGGGAGGCTCTTTAAACTCTGAGAGACTTTTCCCACTGAATACAGTGAAGTCATGCTTATTTGGTTAGGTGAATTCTTGCACCCATCACCTGGTTTTTCATTGTCATTGTCAACATGCATTATGCCCTCTTGTCTATCTGTTTTGGCATTCAGGAACAGGGAGGGATAGAAATGGTGACAGAACACATGCTAGGCATGTAGAACATCCTGGGTCCAGTCTGTGGCATCTCCATTTAAAAACGTTCTGCTATTATCATGATTATTTATTAAATTTTTGCCTGAGTCTCTCAACTGGAAATGCTGTGGACTGAACTTGTTCAATGCTATTACTAAACTTTAGCCTTGCCTATAATCTACTACATAAATTCTTCGCCAAAGAATTGATGCTTTTGAATTATGGTGCTGGAGGAGACTCTTGAGAGTCCCATGGACTGCAAGAAGATCAAACCTCTCCATTTTTAAGGAAATCAGCCCTGAGTGCTCACTGGAAGGATAGATCATGAAGCTGAGGCTCCAGTACTTTGGCCACCTCATGACAAGAGAAGACTCCCTGGAAAAGACCCTGATGTTGGGAAAGATGGAGGGCACAAGGAGAAGGGGACGGCAGAGGATGAGATGGTTGGATAGTGTTCTTGAGGCTACCAGCATGAGTTTGACCAAACTGCGGGAGGCAGTGGAAGACAGAAGTGCCTGGCGTGCTCTGGTCCATGGGGTCACGAAAAGTCGGACACGACTAAACAACAACAACATAATCTAGTGCGTCTTTGGGCTTCCCCCAGACAGCCTCAACTGGGGTGGGCAAAGTGGGCAGGTTATTTGACTCCTTCTCTGCATTGACCATTATTTGAGTGTTCAGCTGTTCTTGGTACAGAGATCACTGGTACCCGGGAAATGTCCCATCATTGGCACCCAGGAGGCATACCCCAAACTGTGACTCACTCCAATGTATTTGCATACCCTTCAACTTTTCTGCAATGAAAATAGGGATGTTAATAATAATAATAATAATAATAATAATAATAATAATAATAATATACAACACCCATCTGACTGGATTGCCCCAGCCACTCTGGGTGGCTTCTAACATATATAAAAACATTTAAAAAATAAACATTAAAAAACCTTCCATCTTCGGATCTTCGGATGTCTTCTAAAGGTTGCATACTTCAGGTTGCTTCAGGTTACAGACCCAGAAATAGTACCTCGAGTTAAGAACTTTGCTTCAGGATGAGAACAGGAATCGTGTGGTGGTGGTGCGGCAGCAGCGGGAGGCCCCATTAGCTAAAGTGGTACCTCAGGTTAAGAACTGAATTCATTACAGAGGTCCATTCTTAATCTGAAACTGTTCTTAAAGTTTCCGGTAACTTTCACTTAAATTCAGTTAATTTCTTAAGTTGCTTTTAGAATGTTTTTCAATTGTGACCAGTTTTATATGTTTTTTATTGTAAATGTTTTTAGAATGTTTGGAAATGCTTGCATTTGGCCACAACTTTAAGTTGTTCATGGGTTTGCCGCCCTGGGCTCCTTGGGGAGGAAGGGCACGATATAAATTCAATAAATGAAAAATAATGAGAAAAATAACATGCATTCAGAAAAAGTGTGTTGCAGCTATCAGAATTCTTGAAATTTATTTTTTTTTAATGTAAATTGAACATCTTAGGATCAAATTATAGCTTTCTTGTGCATTTCAATAAATTATGATATACTTTAAGACATGATCTCCCTTACCCTATCCATGAGACATCAGGTAGGGGGGACCTTAAGTGAGAATCAGATTATCTTGACTTCTGTAAAACTAGAACAGCCTTCTCCAGCTCCTCCCCACAACTGTGTTGACAGCCCCCAACTCATCACACAATCAATCTAAATCCAAATGTCTCCTAGACGGAATTCTGTTTGTTTGCTCTGTGTAGCCCACCTCACACTTCTTCAGACAGAACGCCGTCTGATTAGAAACATGTGTGAAAAATACTGAACAATCCAAAGGTGCAGAATTCATGAAACAAAGTATAACAAACAACAACAACAAAAACCCCCAGAGATAACTCCACCAGCACTTTCGTTTCTTCCACGAGCATCGCACCTAACTCATCGGAGTGGAGAAGAAATATTAATGATAACAAGAAACGAAACAAAACCTCAGATCACAGCTCATTCACTTAGCAGCATGTTTGTAAGGATTTTCATTTCATAAAAAAAATATTTAAAATAGTTGGAGGGAGCATAATCTCTCTCTGTCCATTAGCATTGCCTGAGATTTAACTGAAAAATTAATAATATTACCAGTAATAACTTCTACTTTGCCAACAATTGCTATTGCGTGGACAGGCCAGATCCCGAGCGGTCCCCCCCCCCCGTCATGTGGAATAACGACTCAAGACAACGTGCTATGGGATTAAATTGGCCACAACTTTATTAAATTTCAAATGTGGGTAGACCTTGGCTCAGGCATTGGGCGTTCTCCCTCCCCAGTCCCCAGCCGGGGACCTAGGGAGCTTCAGGGTTATCCAGTGTGTGTGTGGGGGATGGGCCGGCTCTGGAGAACATATGTTCAAGCAGAGATAGCCGCCCCCGTTACGCCGCTGCCGCAGGGGAGAGCAATGACGACCTTTCGGCGTACGGTCAAAGCCTCCCTTCAGAAACCCCTTTAACGGGGAACCCTGGTATCGCCGCCGCAAAGAGGAAGATGGACCAAAGGATTCCGCCCAAGGCCTGATACCGCCAAAGTTGTGACGTTTTGCTACGGGAAAGGCGAAACCTGCCAATGCAGGGAAATTCCTTTCCGGCCCTTTAACAGCGACCTTAACGTAGCAGCGCCCGCATACCTGTGAAGAAAAGTTAACCTGCAAAACCTATGAAGAAAAGTTTACCTGCAAAAGAAGACATTAACTGAGGGTGGGTAGGGTGGGAGAAGCTCTGGAGCCAAGTGAGGATTCCCAGGTAAGATCCTCCCTCTATTGTATGGGCAGGTAATCCCTCCCCTACCTGGCCTGGTCTCCTTGGCAACGCTTCCCCCAGGTGGGATTGGACAACTGACTGAGGTAGGCGGAGACCTCCAGGTATCCCACCTGAGGGAAGGCAAAGCCAAGACTATGTTGATGGGGCCACTCCAGATCTAGGGCTGCGCGCGTCCACGCAAAGGGCGCCCCCCGTTTTAAGCGGGGAGCGGTCATTCTTCATTATTGCCATGGCAAATTCCAATCATATTCCATACTGTCCTTCCTTGAATTTCCTTTTCTACTTTGTAAAATACTCTGGTTTACCTTTAAGTCAGTGTTTCCCAACCTTGGGGCTCCAGCTGTTTTTGGACTACAACTCCCATAATCCCTAGCTAGCAGGACCAGTGATTAGGGGTGATGGAAACTGTAGTCCGAAAACAGCTGGAGACTCAAGGTTGGGAAACACTGCTCTAAGTGGTTAGGAGGAGGAGATAGCAGAGTCTTGAGAAAGAACTGTGGGTGGTGGGGTGTCCTTTCCCCCATCTGTAGGACCTCCTGGGAAACTCACCAAACCTGCTATGCTTGGAGCTGGGTGTGGAAGGTGCATCAAACTGCTGAAGAGACACAGCTTTGGAAGCTGCTGCTACCTTGGGCCTATAAAAGCAAGCCTGGAGTGAGAAGCTTAGGGGAATGCCAGCAGTTCTGAAGAACCTTCCTCCTTGTGAGACTTTTGTGAGTGAGCTGTGAATTTCCATGGACCTGGGGTGCGATCCAGGGTCTTCTTCTTTGGCAATCACTCGTAGCCGAGTAAGATTGTCTTCCATAAACACGGTTTTAACAGTGAGTCCGTAAGTGACTGTGGAGGCCAATTCTGGATCCACACATCCTTCCACAGTTGGGACATAGGTTTCTGGGCGGGAGTTGATCACGGTGTGGATTTGTCCCAAATGTTACATAATACGGGCTATACTTTGAAATAAGGGAGCTGGCAGTAGCTTCACAGTGCAATCTTCTACGAGCTTAGTCAGAAGGAAGGCCTCTTGTTTTCAAATGTGGGAGCCTCAGTTCCTCTCTAAATAACAGTCCCAACTCCTGTGTGCTGCTGCATGTAATATGGAGTCAGTTGCTTCTTTGTGTGCTGCTCCAATTTGGATTCTTCCAAAACTGTGTGCAGGTGGGCAGATCCATGTCCCCTGACAGATGTGCCATGATACACAAGATACTTAAATAATTGTATGCAAAGACTCACAGAGCAAAAGCATTACCCTCATGCCAGCAATGAAGGCATGGGGCATAATTGGAATTAGGGCCATAACTTTATTAAAATATCAAGGATCTACAACTGGTATTGACTACTAAATTGTGGGCACCCTCAACTTGTCAACCAATGGCAGGGCTGTGGCAGCACCTCCTTGCCACCCCCTTGACAAGGGCAATAGCTCTCAATTTCATTGACAGATCAGAAAGTTGACTGATCTTTGCATCTTTCTCCACCTGGTCATATGAAATATGATGTGAGAGGTGTTAGGGAGGGCACCTGAAAGGTGTGTTCCCTATCCTGCTCAGTGTTCAGAGGGATGAATATCTCAGGGAACCACAGATGTTCCCCTCCCATTTTTCCCCCTCGAACAATCAAATTATCTTTTTCCTTCATGCGTATCATTCCTTATTTATTTCACTTATGAATCACTTCCTCTGATGCATCTCAGAGTGAACTTGGATATTGTGAAAAATGAATTAGTGTGTATGTTACCTCCATTTGGGCCACATCTGCTCCATACATTTAAAGCTGTCTTTGACAACTTTAACAGTCATGGCTTCCGTGCAAAGAATTCTGGGAGGTGTAGTTTGCTAAGGGTGCTAAGAGTTCTTTGGAGACTTCTCCTGCCCTCACAAAGCTACAATTTCTAGAGTTCCTTGGGAAAGAGGATTGATTGTTAACACTCTGGAAATTCTAGCTCTGTGAGGGGCAGGGCTTTTTTAAAGCCAGAAGTCGCAAGAATTCAGTTCTGGCACCTCTCAGGTGGGTGCGATTGCCATAATAAGAGAACAAAGGAGGCGTTCATTGTGAGTTCTGGTGCCTCTTTTTCTAGAAAAATAGCAATGGTGAGGGGAACAGAAATATCCTAACAACTCTCAGCACCCTTGACTATCTACAGTTCCCAAAATACTTTGAAAGAAACCATGATTGTTAATACAGGCATACCTTGGTTCTCGAATGAAATCTGTTCTGGAAGTCCATTGAACTTCCGAAAATGTTTGAAAACCAAGGCACGGCTTCCGATTGGCTGCAGGAGCTTCTTGCACTCAATCGGAAGCCATGGAAGCCGCGTTGGACATTCGGCCTCCAAAAAACATTCACAAACCGGAACACTCACTTCTGGGTTTGCGGCATTCAGGAGCCAAAACATTCGAGTCACAAGGCATTCGAGTACCAAGGTACGGCTGTACGAGTGTTTTAAATGTATAGTGTAGATACAGCATTAAAAACACTAAGAGAAAAAGCAGCATTAGTTGAACATCCTAAAAGTCATGAGGCATTTACTGGAGTTGCTTGACTCATAAGCAGGCTTCACTATTCCACTGACAAATAAAAGCCTGTACCTTCATTGTGAGAGATGTATGTAAATTAAGGCTGGATTATGCAGAGTATCACTCATCACTCCCCTCTGCATATTTGCTACATGAAGGCTTCTGCGCGGCTGCCCTGTCTTGTAAACTTTCTTATTCAAAGGCTTTTTTTCTCCTCTCCTCTCCCTCCCACCACACTCAGGTTTCTTTCTTCCCCCTCCCCCTCCAATTCTACTTCTCCCTGCCAACGTGGTGCTTTATCTCAGTCTTGGTCCAATGCCTGAATGAGGCCTCTCAAAAGTTACTTCCTTTCTGGCCTACGTTCATGTTGGTGAAAAGCACGCCTCTCCTGCGCCTCCGAGTCGAGCTGAAGGGGGATATGAAGTCAACAAGTATAATATGAAAATAAACAAAAAGCCAGTTCAAACAAACCACTTGCCTCAGGAAAATAGCTTCTGGCCCATTTTAAGCATGCCCAGCAAATCTTAGGGAGCTATCTTGACGGGTTTTCTGTGTCCCCCTCCCCCGTCTCTCCAAAACTGCCACTAAGCTTTAATCTTTTCAAAAGCTCACCTTGTTCTTAAGCACTTAATTCTGCACACGCCACAAAGCTGCTCAGGTATTATCATGTATTGATGATTCATGATGGCTCAAGCTGGAAAATGAAAACCAAGGAGTCTAATCAATAAAATTATTGGGTCGCCTTTGAACTGGTTCCAGATTTGGTTTTTCTTGGCAGGTCTTTGGCTTCCTGAATTCTGCTGACCAAAAGCATGAATAATGACCTCAAACTGCACAATATACAGAAACCATCTGTTAGATAGGAACCAGAAGGGTGATGTCATCGAAGCTCTTCTAATCTTGCAGCGAATGTTTTTGCCAGTGGTGATGTCAGAGGCTTGGCAACTCGCTGGCAAAGTCCAGCTCTCAGAGGATGAGTAGAAAATAGGAGGAAGATGCCCCATGATTGTGCTTTTCTTGTATTCTGTGGCTATTTAATTAAAGAAAGAAAGAAAAGAAGATAAGATAAGTTGAGAAAACTGTGTCCGGGCATGAATTGCAAACAAAATCTATTTTTAAGTACAGGAAATTGACATCAATGGCAATACTCCAGAGTAATTGGCTTGGGAATCATGGCTCTAAAATCCAACAGACGTTCTCCATAATAAAAGATCTGAAGACTATGTAGCCTACAGGTTTGGCCACATCCATATTGTGGCCAAATCCCACTGGGCAAATTCAAGGAAACCTTCTGGTTCCTTTCCTGTAGGTGGCAATGGAAAATCAAACAGATTTTCAGCATAATAGCTGAAATTCAAGAATCCAATATAGTAAGCCTTATAGCTGTCTTTGATGTGGCTAACTATGAAAGCCATCTCCCCATAGTTCAGTGGTCCAAAGCAACACTTAGATTTCAATCATCCTGGAAGAACTTGTCAACATGTGAACTGTACTTATACATAGAGACCTATTGTTAACCCATGGTCTGTGATGGCCACCTCTTGCCACAAATTCATTGTTTTTCCTTTGTGCAAATGTGTCTACTATTTATAGAACATGACCTCTGCTGAATGTAATCATTGCCATTTTAGCAGTGGGCAATATTGGAGAAGGAGCCTTCAGGTCTGGTATATTTAAATATTTGTCCCATTGTGTATGCTTGTTCATCGCTGCATTGTATGGCTCTCTGAATGATGTACAATTTAAAGAGGTTTTATTGATTCAGCATTGCACCAGTGGTAAGAACATTTCCTTGTTCTGTTGATTCATGTGGACAGGCTGACACAAATAGGCTTACGTGGATAGGCTTACACCTCCCTGTCCTGGTCCAAGCTGTCTCTCACCCTCAACACACATAAAGCAGGAAGATGGCACTCCAGAATAACCAAGAAGCCACTAGAAGCTCGATGTAATGTATCCAACAGCACAGTCAGTCATGAACACCCTAAAGTTGCCTGTTGCCCTCAAGTGCACTGGGGGATCCTATCTGATTGCCAGTGTCGAAGTACAATTCAAGAGCCAGTCCATATGGGATGGGACCTTTTGCTAGTACAGTGGTACCTCGGGTTACAGACGCTTCAGGTTACAGACACTTCAGGTTACAGACTCCGCTAACCCAGAAATAGTACCTCGGGTTAAGAACTTTGCTTCAGAATGAGAACAGAAATTGTGCGGTGGCAGTGGGAGGCCCCATTAGCTAAAGTGGTACCTCAGGTTAAGAACAGTTTCAGGTTAAGAACGGACCTCCAGAACAAATTAAGTTCTTAACCTGAGGTACCACTGTAGCTGCATTCCTGCTGGCTCCTTGACCTAGATATCAGAAATTTAAAATTCTAAACTTGTCCATTTTAATGGCC